TTTGCGTTCATGGCCACCGACTCAAAACCCTACGACGACTTCTGCCAGAAGCTCGCTCGCGAACTCCCCGCCGTCGTGGTCTCCGTCAACTACCGCCTCACTCCGGACCATCGGTATCCGTGCCAATACGACGACGCATTCGACGTCTTGAAATTCATGGAGAACGACGGCCACTACTTTGAGGGCGCGAATCTCAAACAATGCTTCCTCGCGGGAGACAGCGCGGGTGGAAACATAGCGCACCACGTGGCGCTCAGATGTAGCGGACACGTGTTTCAGAATCTGAAGGTTGTTGGGATCTTGTCGATCCAGCCGTTTTTCGGAGGAGAGGAACGGACGGAACCTGAAAGGAGGCTGGTGGGAGTGCCGGTAGTGAATTTGGAGCGGACGGACTGGATGTGGAGGGCGTTTTTGCCGGAAGGGTCGGATCGGGATCACCCGGCGGCGAACGTGTTCGGACCCAAATCGGAGGATATATCGGGGTCGGATTATCCGGCGACAATTGTGTTCGTGGGAGGATTTGATCCGCTGCAAGAGTGGCAGAAGAGATACTACGAGGGGTTGAAGAAAAGCGGGAAAGAAGCTGAGCTGGTGTATTATCCGAACGCCATTCATACTTTCTATGCTTTTCCGGAGTTAGAAGAGTGTGCTGTTTTTTTTAACAAAGTCAGAGATTTCGTGCAATTGCAAACTGCAAGCAGACAGAATATAAAATAGGAAATGATTCAGGAGGATGATATCATATATGAATAATCGGGGCCATCCATAGCCATAGTGTGGTTCTGTTTAAGCGGCTAGTTAATGATTTTCTTGCAATTTTAGTCAAAAATAATTTAAAGAAAACCTTTCATCTCATAGGCGGTTTGTAAAAGCCTTTCACCCACTCACTTCACGTGATGAAAAAGGTTTGTAAAATCCTTTCACTCACTCGCTTCACGTGATGAAAAAAATAGACACATAGCTATAGTTAAAGACCGTCTCACAGACTTGAAGTTTTTCCCCACAAGTAATGGCACAACGCCTGATAGGCATGCTCGATGTCCACACACAAGAGATATATGAAATTAGCAAACATTATAGCTTTCTTAGTGCAAAATATTATATACAACTCCATAGGTCTGTTGAAACGCTATAATTATTAAGCTAAAAATATGTACCCTCAACCACAAATATTGCATAATTTCCCTCAAAAGAAAAAAAAACTCAGATATTGCATTGAAAATTCAGCTCCGCGCTTTCCAAATCCAAGTTCAATAAATAAATTAAGCCCTCTGGTTCTCATTCTATGGGTTCGTTGTATCAAAGCACTACTGTTGTGCACTTCGCTTCCTCCACAACAATCAACAACGCCACCACTTCCAATCTGAAATCACCTTCTTTTCACAATATGACCTGAGAGAAAACTGTAATATTTCACATCCAACAATACTTGAGTACATGTATCTTACGTTTCTTGGATTCTTTTCGGGGGGGAAAAAACTACAATTTTCATAAAGGAATTAACTATTTACAACTCAATGAATATTGGATAATAAATCACATCCATAAATCACAAAAATGTCGTGGCCGGGCCGGTTTCAAACTTTTATAATTTTACGAAAAATAAAAAAATTTAGATCAACTGTATTATTTGTTGGAAGTTAAATATCAACAGTAACGGGATCTATCAATAGACATATTGACAAAATATCAATCTCGAGAAAACCTTAGACAGAAATTTTGAATCAAATGTATTAACACTACCGGAAAAATAGTATCGAGGATATTATAGGTCTTCAATACTGTTCGGACACAAGTCATTACATGATTGTTGATATAAATGCTGAAAAAGCGAAAGTTTCAAAGGAAACATCTAGACCATAACATAAAGTTTTTCCCTTTTATGTCAATCTAAGAACAGGACTAACATTGTTCATCATGAACGTAGTAGTTCTGGGAAGTTTTTTTTTCCCACCTAAAGTAATAGCAGTTATCTCCGTATTAGCTATTCCTAAAAGAAAGTTACCCTAAGAATAATATAGATGAGAGACAAAGCACCTATCAGTTTATTGAAATCCTAAAATAATAGATAGCTGGCCAGCACCAATATGTCTGTCATAACAGTATGATATGGCTACTTATCCTTGTCAAATTAATATGAATAATTTACCCTATGTTGCTCTTACTACCATCAAGAAGAATCAAGTATACCAACCTTTCTCAACCACTCATCTCCTGGTTTTATCAAGAACCTCAATGAATCTCTTTGGGATCCCATATTGTTCAATCATATGCTTTGCCAGATCATCAATCACACCACCTTGAACCACAACCTCATGCCCTTTCTTACCTGAAAAGAGAAATATAAATGTATGTTCATAAGGGAAGGGATCCTCAAGAAGCCACAATATGTACTATTCCCAGACAATCAAACTTGTAAAATGCATTTCGTACCATCGGAGAAATTGTATCATTATACAATAAACAAGAAGAAAAAACATTTACATGACTAATAGGAGCACTAAAATTCGAAACCCCCACCACCCAAAAAAAGAAGAAGAGAGAACCACACTCTTACTTGGTATGGGGAACACAGGACCATCATGTTTTCAAATATAGAAAAACAAAAAATAATCACCTCTGCTTATCATCAACAAAAGACAATTAGAAAGGCAGAAATGTAATATCATCGACTGAAAACTTTCCACACAGACATAAATTTTTCTAATAAATGGCTACATAAACATTCTGAGTCATGAAGAGAAAAAGTTACGACCCAACAGACATTCATTCAGGGGCAACGAAGCACTGCACCTGGTAGTTCAGCCACTGTTGTGCTGCAAGCAAACTTCTTCTGTAGCTCTGATGCCAAAGCTTCAGGGTCTACCAAAAAAGTTTCCAGTCCTGACAATTTGGTTACTTTCTTATTACCTTGCCGCCTTTCTGTCATTATTTGTATTGTTTTCAAACCACCTTTACGAACAACCGACTCACTTCCCCTCGTCACAACGTGATGGGCTTGCATCCGGTTTACAAATGCTGCTCCTAAATCCCTCTTATGAATTTCCGTTGGGTACATTGTACCTTTTTTTATGGCTCCTTTGAACAGTGCATCACATAAAATTGGATCCAAAACCACAATGGATTTATCTGTCTGCTTAACCAAGTTTTCTTTTTCAACATATGTAAAGACAATATCAGTGGCCTCTGAAGCACTGTAAAGTTTTCCTGTGTCAGTCCCTACAGAAGCTAATATGGGATTTACGTGTACACTTGGTTTATAGACCTCGACCACTTCAAGCATTTTGAGTGACCGACTTTCACTGACAGCAGGAACACCAGTTTGAACAGTTTTCTCCACTTGCCGTTTCTCTGGCTTGAAAGATGAGTAATCTGGATGCTTGCGGTTAACGGATAATAATATGGACTCCTTTTTATATTTATCTTCTTTCACTGTAATCTGCGCATGTTTTGAAGCCAACATAGCATGAGCAACAAGAATAAAGATTCATCTAAAAAACTTAACTGTAAAAGGCATAATGGTTACAAGAACATCAAAATTCAATCACCTGTCTATGTTAAACTTCTCTACTTAATCAAGGTTATCACCCCCTTTCAGAACATACCAGAGATTTCTTAACAAGCTAAGCATAAATATCAACAAGACTCAAAAGTCACAACTCAGTACTGCTACCAAAATACAACTTGCCATCTACACATAAATTCACAGAAAAGGTGCCCATGAACCACTATTCTCCAGTTATAGATCACTAAACTAAAATGAAGAAAATCATGCCTTCTTTTTTTATCAGCAGAATTGAAAACTAAAGACAAAAAAATTGAAAGACAAGTCATCAAACGAAGAAATACACTGCTGAAACCAATAAAGGAAGACTTTATGACTGATCTTGGAATTAGAGTTTGTTTCAATTTTTTTTTTTTTGCTCACTGATACTTCTTTTTCATAATGCTCGTAGAAACTTAGGATAAAATCTTTTTAGTCTCTCTTCCAAGTTCCAAAGCAATCCTATTAACATAGCTGAGACCAATAATGCCACTCATAACTCTCAAAAATCAATTTAACTTGACACATAAGAATACCTCTGAAAACATTTAAACTTAATCTTCATGTATGCCCTGAATATAATAAAGCATAACCTTAAATTTACTAGAATACAGATTTATAACTGTAAATAAGTACTGTTACAACTTTGTCCATGCTTGCTAAAGAGTAAGACTCACAGCTCAATTCAGCAGCCTATTCATTACTATCACTTGGTGCACTTACTACAAGACCACTTAGAAGTTTAGAACTCAGTGACTTGCAAAATCAAGAAAACTAGAGGATATCCAATAAGATACGAGCTCCCAAAATGACAAGGTTAAAGCACTAAAAGGGTTCTCTTTCAAGGAGAAGAAAATGAAAAGCTGTACGCACCAATCCCGTAGAAGATTTAGCTTGTAACCACTTCGATAATTTTTTGTATGATGATTTCTTGATGTCTAGTGTGATCCCAGAAGGCCTACAAGGCAAAACATGGTTTGACCTGCAGAAAACAAAAAACAAGTGAAGGAAATTTTATAAATCAAATGTTTACACCAAAGAGAGAGAGAGAGAGAGAGATCATGTGGAACAAATATAATATATTTATCATACCAAAGTGTGCTTCCAGGCATGGGAAGGTCTTTATCCTTAACAGTTGTATGCAATGCTTGCAAAAGGCATTTTTCTAAAAGCGTGTCTACATCCTCGGTGGAAAGAGGATGTTGATCCTCCCAAATCGACTGATCAGCAGAGCCATCATCTGTTAC